GTTGTCCCCCCCTCCCCCAGAGATGTCGGCAGCCGGCAGCAAATACATCGACACGGAGGTGGAGAACGCCATCAACGGGGTGAAGCAGATGAAGACCCTCATGGACAAGACCAGTAAGGACCATCAAGCCATCCTGCAGACACTGGAGGAGACCAAGAGGAGGAAGGAGGTCAGTGAGGATGAGGAGGGTGGTCACTTCAACACTAGGACCTGGAGATCCCAACCAGGCTGGACACATCTGAAGGGCTTGGAGGATGAGGAGGGTGGTTGCCCCAACCTGGAGCTCCTGGCCAGGCTGGGAACATCTGAAGGGCTTGGAGAAGGAGGAGGGTGGTTGCCCCAACCTGGAGCTCCTGGCCAGGCTGGGAACATCTGAAGGGCTTGGAGAAGGAGGAGGGTGGTTGCCCCAACCTGGAGCTCCTGGCCAGGCTGGGAACATCTGAAGGGCTTGGAGAAGGAGGAGGGTGGTTGCCCCAACCTGGAGCTCCTGGCCAGGCTGGGAACATCTGAAGGGCTTGGAGAAGGAGGAGGGTGGTTGCCCCAGCCTGAAGCTCCTGGATGGGCACATCTGAAGGGCTTGGGGGATGAGGAGGGTGGTTGCTCCAACTCTGGTACCTGGAGCTCCTGGACAGGCTGAAGCACATCTGAAGGTTTCCAGGGATGAGGATGGTGATTACCTCAACCTGGAGCTCCTGGTCAGACTAGGCACATCTGAAGGGCTTGGAGGATGAGGAGGGTGGTTGCCCCAACCAGAAGCTCCCAACTGAGCTGGGCCCACCTGAAGGATTCAAGGGATGAAGAAGGTGGTTGCTGGGCACATCCAAAGGGTTCAAGAGTTGAGGAGGGTGGTCACTCCAACCCTGGTACCTGAAGCTCCTGGCCAGGCTGGGTGTATCTGAAGGGTTTGGAGGATGACTAAGATGGTTGCTCCAACCTGGAGCTCCTGGTTGGGCTGCACACATCAAAAGGTTGGAGAAGATGAGGAGGGTGGTTGCCCCAACCTGGAGTTCCTGGTTGGGCTGGACCCATCCAAAGGTTTCAGAGGATGAGGCGGGTGGTTGCTCCAACCTGGACCTCCTAGTTGGGCTGAGTACATCTGAAGGGTTTGGAGGATGACTAAGGTGGTTGCTCCAACCTGGAGCTCCTGGTTGGGCTGGACACATCCAAGGATAAGGAGGGTGGTTGCCCCAACCCAGAGCTCCTGGCCAGGCTGGGTGCATCCAAAGGGCTCTGGAGTTGCCGTGTCCATGGTCCATGTTCTCCAGGAGCGGGGTGATGTCCTCAGGAGTGTGTCCTTTGCAGGAAGCGGTGCAGCTGGCCAGGGAGAAGGAGCAGCAGTTGGAGGGGAAGCAGGAGATCTGCAACGAGACCATGTTGGCTCTTTGGGAGGAGTGCAAGCCCTGCCTCAAACACACCTGCATGCGCTTCTACTCCCGCACCTGCCACAGCGGCTCGGGGCTGGTGGGACGGCAGGTGAGTGGTCCCAGTCCCACCACACCCATTGATGTCGAGAAGTAGATGGATTTGGATCTCATCCTGCTCTCCTGCTCCTCAGCTGGAGGAACTCCTCAACCATTCCTCACCCTTCTCCATCTGGGTGAACGGCGAGCGCATCGACTCGCTGCTGGAGCGGGATCAGAGGCAGGAGAAGCAGTTTGAAGACTTAGAAGAACGTTTTGGGTTGTTGGAAGATGGTGTAGATGACATTTTCCAGGACAGCACCCAAGTTTATGGTCGCCTGTACCCCTTCTTCCCATCACCCTTCGGTGGTTTCCGTGAGGTTCTCCGTCCCCCCGTCCAGCGTGTCCGTCTCATCCCACGTAACCAGAGGTTCTCCCGGGAGCTCCATCCCTTTTTCCAACATCCCCATCATGGTTTCCATCATCTCTTCCAACCACTCTTTGAGATGACCCAGAAGATGTTGGAGGAGGCACAAGGTGGTTGGGAGCACCCGTTGGGTGGCTTTGGCTCAGGTAAGGTCATCTCCATGAGTTGAGTGTCCCAAGTTTAGTTGGAAGCAGTAGATTCATAACCAAGTTTCCCAGCAACTCCACCTCATCCAGGTCATTAGGAGGTGACAGACTTAGAGGATGAGCTCAACCCTCCTACGACACAGCAGAGAATCCCCCCAGGAGCCTGGGCATCACAAGCTCCACTGTTTGGAGCTGGGTTGGGAGGTTTTTTTGGGGGGGTTCCTCCTCTAAATTTTGGCTCCTGGAGCCACCGCTGTCCCAGGAAGGTCTTTGGTTTGGGTGGGGGACACCAATGTTGTCACCATCTGCCACCACAGCCTTGGCTGGACATCCAGAGGTGTCAAAATTCCCTGGAAGAAGCATTTTTATGTGTCCCCCCCCTTGGCACCCCGTGGTGTTTTGGGGGGCTGAGGTGGGGCTGGGGTCCCTGCAGGGTCTCGGAACTCCAGCGAGGAGCGCATGGTGTGTCGGGAGATCCGGAGGAACTCGGCCGGCTGCCTGCGCATGAGGGACGAGTGCGAGAAGTGCCGGGAGATCCTCTCCGTGGGTGAGCTGGGCTGGGACAGGGACAGTGGTGGGGGCACCAGGAGTGGGGGGAGACCATGGGTGGGGGCACCATGGATGAGGGGCCATGGATGGGGAACTGTGGGTGGGGGGACC